TTTTTTCTCAAAGCAAAAAATATCATGTATCTACTTCATCCAGCGTTATAGATAAACTCCCACCAAATGTGCATACGTTCGAATGGTTTCCACAATCGGATTTATTACAAAATTCCAAGACGAAAGCATTCATTACGCATGGAGGATATAACAGCTTCCAGGTAATTGCTGATTTCTACTGCTGTGCAAATCCATAAGCATTTCAAACCAGGAAGCAATTTCGGCAGCAGTGCCAATGATAATCATACCGCTGTTTGGTGATCAACCCAGAAATGCAAGACTGGGTGAAAAGCATCACTTTGCTGTGAGAATTCACAAAAGCGATGTTAGCGCGGATACAGTAGCAGAGGCACTCGAAAAAGTGCTCAATGACCAAAGGTTCGTTGAATTCAGCTGCACTATCGTGTTTTACATATTTAAACTTTTAGCTATTCAAGTAACATGACACGGATATCAAATATGGTGAAAAAGCAGCCGGTAGATCCTTCCAACCTGCTTGTTTCTTGGGTCAATTTCGTGGCCGAGTTCAAAACGCTGGACAATCTTGTACCTGCAGGCAACAAACTAAACTTCGTTCAGTACCACTCTCTTGATGTCATCGCATTTCTTTTTACTATTGTTGCAGTGCTCACATTCATTGCGTATAAAATTGTAAAATTTATCATCAAAAGAGCTTTTTCGGCATTGCCGCGGAGAAAATATAAGGAGCAGTGAGAGCAGATCAAAAATGTGTTCCACTTTGTATAAATTTTTTTTTATCAAATTGATTCTATAACCCTTCTTCAGCGCTAATGATTTTACTTCTATAAAATTTGTTCGTAGTGTACAGTATCGTTCTTCCATTATTATTACTTTCCCTGTGAATAAATGTGGTTATTTGAATGACTTCTGCTACAGAAATGCAAAGCTCTGAGGGGAAACGCCGAGTCAGAGTTTTTTCAAAAATCAACAATGAGACATATTCAATCACAAAAAAAAGGAAATTTTCGGCTTAAGTTGCGACCCTTGATGCACAACTGCGGATCTGCTATCAGAGGAACATAGTGCACGTTTTTAGACATGGTTAAGATACTTGATCGTACATTGCCTAGTGCTGTTACTTTGATCTTTCAAGCTCA